GGCGCACGCTTCGCTGAAAACCGAAGCGACATCGCTTACGGCCCAAACGTCATCGAACATCCTGCTCGGCGAAAACGTCGTCTGGCCACTCAAGCTGCAGCTGCAAGGACCGATCGATCCGATCTGGGGACAAGTCAGCGGTATCGTGGGCTTGCCGGAGTTTCGCTTGGGGGGCAGTGGTTCGATCTTGGCGAAGCTGGCGATGGGAGCCAATCAGTGGCTGATTGAAGGTATCAACGCCGACATCAACGATTTCACGATCACCGGCCCCGCAACGAACATCTACGAAAAGAAGCTCCGCGTCGAAGGAGGAGCCTTGGTCGACTGGGCCGGAAATCAGTTCTCGAGCAAGCAGTTTACGGTTGTCGGGACAACCGTTTCCGCGCGGGCGAATGATGTTGTCGTTCCGCTTGCCAACGGAGGAACGGCGGCAGGGCAACTTGCTTATCGAGTCGATCTGAGTCGGGGAATTCACTGGGTGTTGCCACCGGAATGGTTAGGACAAAACCGCGTTGCCGGCGAATTGGCAGGGACGATGAATCTATCCAGCGACGCCAACGGTGTGGTGCTGCAAAATGGTGGTCAGATTGCCAACTGGGAATTCGTCGTGCCGCAAACCAATGGCCAACCAGGCACGCAGCCGCGAATGCAGCCAGCCTCTTCGGGGCAGCCGGCATTGGCTTGGCGTGAAGCGAACCTGGCCTACTCGCAGCAGCTAAGTTTGAACCGTGCGGAAGATACCTTGGCGATTCATGAATGCACCCTGCAAGGTTCCGCCTTGAAGCTGGCTGCCAGTGGTGGAGTGAGCCAGTTGTCGACGGCAGGAAACGTTTCTGTCCAAGGGTAAGCCGACTACGACTGGAGTAAGCTTTCGCCCTTGGTCGCTTCGATCATGGGGCCTCAGGTTTCTATTCAAGGCCAACGCAAGTCGCGCTTTCAATGGACCGGACCGCTATGGGGCGGAGGCAATCCCAATGGACCGGAATTGAATATCTCACCGGCATGGGAAGCGGCCGGGGACGTGTCCTGGCAGCAAGCTTCGTTGTATGGCATTCCAGCTGGCGAGACCACGCTGAGTGCACAACTACGGCAAGGCATCATCCAGCTGACGGCCAACAGCCCAGAACTTAGTGGAGGGCAACTGTCGCTCAACTCGCAGTTGCTGCTCAATGCGAAGCCAATGCAGTGGCAAATTCCGCAGGGCCGCGTCATCGACAACGTCGCCATCACGCCGCAG